TTTCATTATGTTCTCTTTAGTCAAGACAAAGGCTCTGTGGGTCATCACCTCTTGGCTCTTTTAAACCTCAGACCTGGTCCTTACCAGTTGGAAAAAGCAGATTCTGGGCCACTTTAAAAAAAAGAGGATTACGTCCATTGGCTTTGTAAACCACCAACACCTGAAAAGGCCTTTAAACGGACCACACTCTGGCTAAAGATTTTCTCATTTTTGCCTTGTTAATTTGAAGATGGATTTAAACATACCTCTTGGATTAATCGACTGAACAGTCTCTAAAGCTTTAAAAATGCCAAGTGCTTAAGGGTAGTCTTCAGACAGCCGGAACCGCACAAGTGTGAAAAGTGATTTTCCTGAGGGACGGAACGGAAATATCCTTATTTGCATTTAGAGAATGCATCAACTTTATGAAATGTTTAGCAACTGTGAAGCAGCGCTTGTGTTGATGTCACAGCACAATTTGGCTTTTAATAGGACCAGAGGCTTAAGCGCGGCATTACATCTTTCCTTCCTCTTGAAATTGTCACTCCGTAATCCCTTGGCAAAGAGTAATGCAGCTAGATTAGTGGGCCAAACCCAGATTTCTGAGCGATCGTCAGAGGACCCACAAAGAGATCGCTGGACCGTCTAGCTCACAGTATATACGTCGCTCCGTGTTTTTTCCGTTTGAAAGCTACAGAATGCATGCCAACGCTATACTATATGAGAGCTGATGAAGACGAGGGCTGTGAAATGTGTTGATTTGTGTACAAAACACTTCAGGATTTAATAAGAGTGAACAGGCTCTGTCTATCTGGGCCAGCGAGGGGGGGCTGATTAATCCGTGGCTCCGTGCAGTATGAGGGATATTAAGAATGGACAGTTGAAAAGGACCTGTCTGAATACAATGAAAGTAGAGAGAACTGTTTTTATTTCACATGAAACAGCTTATACGGCTCAAAATATGATTGATTTGATTGCCTTCCGCCCTTCAAATGCTAATTTCCTCAACCCACATGAGATGCCTTTTCAGAATATAAACAAGATTAGATTAGCTCAACACCTCAGCAGAACATCTCATTCAAAATACTAACGTAATCGCCCCTTAATTCGCTTTTCAACAGCTTTTATCACCTTTCAGCATCTTTATCAATGCAAGACAATCAAGGGGTAATTGATGCTAATGTTACATACAAATCAAACATATTATTAAATGAACAATGAGAATCATTTTGACTGTCATCCCCACTAACTTGGCTGTTAATAGTCATTAGAATTGATTATATATTTATATTGCATTGTGATGTGTGTGAACGTCTCGTTTAGGCCAGTGTTTGTCTCTTTCGCTCTTGTTTCCCCATGACAGTAGCACTATAAATGCAACATGACAAAGTCTATTGAGAAGCACGTCTAATAAATTTCTCCCCCTGCTGTAGTGATGTTGCCCTGGGTCCTTGGGATCTGCTCTCTTGCTGAGGGTGGAAATCACATTCCAGTGGCGGAGACGGGTCAACCCCTGCGATTTTCCATGCTCAGCAAGAGCACTCGGGACTACTCTCTTAGGCCTCAATGACTCACATTTGAATCCTCAGGGAATAGATACTTTACAGCTCATCTCTTAACACACCATCCTTACAGGACATGCAAATAAGATGCCCTTGAAGTTTCCACATTCATTAAAAGAAATTCAGATATTTGCATTTGGAAACATGGAGATACAAAGACTCGGATGTGACAAGAAGTCATCAGCATAATTATGTATGTTATACAAACCGCCGTTTGCTCCGTGCACATTTTTTTTCTTTGAAATACTGAAGGCATTGCATGACATATCTGGGCTGCTTATTATTTTACATTGCGCCCATTGCTCCTTGACTCTGTCTTGGGTGGTATAAGGTATAAGCCTGCGCCAATATGCTGTTACTGATTTAAAGCGGATTATCGTTTGCTGTCCTAAGCCTCAGTGAAATCCTTTAAAATATTCATATTGGCAGACCTGGATTAGAAAACGAAACAACAGACCTCTTTTTTTTTTTTACCCTTGTAGATCGGCTATATGTATTTATATATTTTATTTATTTATTTATTTTTTAAATCTGCAAAACTCATACAAACACACTAGTTAGGATGAATCTCAGCTTCTTTACAATCAACTTAATGCTATTTTCATATTTAATAATACAATAGTCTCAAACTTGTCCATTGGGCAGAATCTGATATTTGTTTGTTTGTTTATTTATTTATTTATTTATCTCTCTGAGTATTATTGGTTTATCACTCAATAAAGCCTGTAAATCAGTTTTCACTCTGCGTTTGGGTTTGGCATTTAATTGTATCTATAGATTTCTTAAGGTTTGCTAAACAGTAACTTATGCCTCTGATGAGAGGTACACCGAAAACAAATGTTGTTGTATTTCCTTCTTGGAAAAAAAAAGTTCACTCAGAAACTGCAAATTTCACAGATAATTACAAAGATACAAGAAACATTGAAATAAAACAACATTTTGAAGTAGAAAGACATGTTTCAGTAATCTTTGTTTTATTTATAGCTTCGAAAAATCTTTTTTTGTTGTTTTTACAGTGTATATACACGTTTCATAATTCATGTATAATGACTAATTTATGCAAATGTGGATATTGTCACAGTCATAAAGGCAGAATTATTAAAATATTATATGGAGATATAGTATACTTTGTATGTTGACGGTGACCTTTTAGCTATATTAGTGCCGTCAATCGATAAAATTTTTTAACTAATTAATCACGCATTTTTTCTGAAATTAATTGATTAAAGTTTTGAAATATACTTTTACAGTATATTGCAATAATTTCATATTCAGTCTTCAAATTAATGTAGAAACAACATAACGACAGTATACTTTTAATATTTGTTTAATGGCATCTCTTTATAACTGAAGGCATGTATCACTGATGCCAACACTACACTACTCTCTAGGAAATAGTTCTCATTTTCCTAATATTTAACCATTGACTATAGCCATTTAACATTACAGTATAATTGAGCATAACTGTATATATGTATATATATTATGCTGTTAATATAATGAAATATCTGTGAATAAGACCCCTTGTCTAGCTGACAACAACAAACAAGACTGTACACATACACACATGCCATTTTGTAAGTTAACTTTATAAATGTGCCAATAACTTTGTATGGATAAAATTTACGGTTGTGAAACATTTGTCTCCTGATGGACAACAGTATCCAGCTAGGTCTTTTGCGTTTGAGACCCCTGATCTAATTCTTGATAGTGGTACTATTAAAGTAAACTGATTTGCCTTGCTGTCCATAATGGAGGGCTCAAGTGTTAAGTTTCCCCCACGGATTACATAATTTAATGTTCAGTAGAGATACAACAAAATAAAGGATGCCGGAGAACAGTTGTGACGGAAGTGAGCTGAGCAGATGTTTATATATCCTTATGACTGACAGGAGTAGAAAAACATGCTCCTCTCGAAATTTCGTTTAGAGCTCCATTAAATGCAAGAAGGCCAAGAACATAACATAATAGTTAAATAGCTTCTGATGTAGGTGGCCTGATGCATTTCCCTTTATTGTGGAGCCTAACTGTACAGCTGTTTCCATAACCAGAGAGCATCAGTAATTATTTTATCACTAGTCAGAAAAGTGCTAAAGCATCATAGTGCAAAAGAAGTCAGGCGGGGGTCTTGAGGGGTTTTTGATTCTCAGCAGAAAAATATATGGACGGTAAAACTTCAGTGAAATGGTAGGCTTCAATGCCCACAACAGCTACATGGGGTCAATAGATTTATGACACCAAGTCAGAGTCTTTGAAAAATGAACTAAAAAGCTTGTTCTCCATCTCACATAACATGTTCAGGATTCTGAAGCCTTTCAATAAAGGGATAGTTCACCCAAAAAAGAAAACCCTGTCATGTGGGCCTACTCATCCTCATGTTATTTCAAACCGTTCTTCAGTGGAACACAAAAGGAGATGTAAAAGTGACAGCTTCAGTCACCATCCACTTTCACTGTATGGAAAAAAAGATGAAAGTGAATGATGACTAAGGCTGTCGGTCCATAATATTCTGCCTATTCTGCATCTCATAATCTTGTACTGCAGTTATATCTGATCAAATGCACATCATTATTCTTTAGCTTGGGTTAAACAAATCAATTTTGCTTGGTTGGAACAGCAGCTACGCTAATTAAGCTATGTCTCTATTTGTTTCTCTGTTTCTGCCGATTTACACAAGCTTCAGTCTGGATCCAGAACACCTGAGAAGAGATGATGCCAACCCCTCAGATGATGCCAACCCTGAAACAACATACAGAACTACCACATTTTGCTATAAGTTTGACTGCAACATATAATAATTGCTGTAAATAGTGTTCATCGTCTGTTTGATTACGTCTTTAATTGATTTTTCCGTACATTTCTGCCATATGTACATTAACTGACATAGTCCCCATCGATAAGCTACCACTAAATATATTGTAGAAACAATATATTGTTTGGATTTTTTTGAAAACTGCCTCTGCCTTTTTCCTCCACTGCCAAAAATAGATCAATGATAACCTGAATCAAAGTAGAGAGTTAATAGTAGTGACCCAAATCTGAACAGACGCGACGATATCATATAACGCAGGCTTAATTTTCAAACTACTTTCGCATCCCTTAATGTTCATGATCCCTCTCAGTCACCGCGCTGCGAGTGACAGCCAATCAGCGGCTCTGTAGCTGACACCGCACGAGATTTGAGAGAGAGAGAGAGAGAGAGAGAGAGAGAGAGAGAGAGAGG